TCTCAACTCGTGTTTTTTCGCTTCTTTGCAGGCCGGCATCATGACCTCCCTCAATGCCCGTTGCTCTATCCTAGCAGCAGCCAACCCCGCCTATGGCCGCTACAATCCCCGGAAGAGCATTGAGCAGAACATCCAGCTGCCAGCCGCTCTGCTTTCCCGTTTCGACCTCCTCTGGCTGATCCAGGACAAGCCGGATGCCGATGCTGACCTGCGTCTGGCCCAGCACATCACCTACGTCCACCAGCACTGCCGCCAGCCGCCGACACACTTCACCCCCATCGACATGAAGCTGATGAGGTAACGATAAAAAACAAAAAATGTTACAAAGGTTCTTCTATCAATATATTTAACGCATTAAAGCAGATCATTATCCTACATAGTTCGGGTTAATGAAAGCTGGTAGAGTGGTGAAGTTTTCCAGTGTCACACAGCAATATTGATTTAACAAAAATCTGAAATGTCCCCTCAGGCGTTTCCTCGCTGTGTGCAAGAAGCGGCAGCCTGTGGTGCCCGAGGCGCTGGCTGATTACATCACTGCCGCTTACGTGGAGATGAGGAAAGAGGCCCGAGTCAGCAAAGACACCACCTTCACCTCTGCCCGTACCCTCCTCTCCATTCTCCGTCTGTCCACTGCCCTGGTGAGAACTACACCCCCACTCTAGTGAGCCGTGGGTTGCTGGGAACTTTCACAGACCAGTTAAAATAATTGAAACCACAGCAGGTGTAGAATTATTTTGTCAGCCATCTTTCCAAACAATGCAGAGTCCTTACTAATGCCGTTTAAACTCTAAATGTACCCAAATATTATGATGTCACTTTGTTGAAGTTATTTGAATAAAGTGTGACAATCATCCTGGTGTCTTCATCAGTAGTCCAGTGTGTGATAAAGTGCTTACAGTGCAGGTAGTGATGATAACCTGGCCTACTGCAATGTGAGCACTTCTTTCCCACGATGGACAAAACATCTTCAGCCTGTCGTTCATTATAACTCAGCAATAGCAAACCAGATGGATACACATCTGTTTGTAATTCTGTATTTTGTTCTTGGCTTTCTAAAGTTCACATTTCCTGAATTAAGTGTTTTATGGTCAGGTGTCATCTCTGCCTCTGGTTGTCAAAAGTGCTGTTTGTGCAGGTAGCAGTCATCCACCTACTGCAAAACCAGCACTTCAGGCAGACAGGAAGGCAATGTGCTGCACACAGACGTCCACAAGGGGGCCAGCTGCAACCATCCCTGTGTGAAAGAAACGGCTTGAGTTGCAGTGCTGAAGATATTTGCGTTTGTTCAGATGTTTCAGATGTTTTTATCACAATAACCATGAGTCTGGTCCTGGCCAGCTTTGCTGGGTGGGCAGTCAGCCTGTGTGCGTTAGGAGCAGCTGTGCAAACCCATGCAAAACTGACCGTGGCCAGAACTGTCATCAATATGTTCTGTATAAAAACTTGATATTTGAAGTATTCAGTACGTCTTTTAGCATTCTTGTTTCAATTTCAACCTGTAGAGAGACTAGCTGGTGTTGAGAGGCGGAGACTTGGGCAATTGCCGGCCATCCCAGAGGGCATTGCACTTGTCTCGGTCTGACAGTGCCGGCACAACGCAGCCTCCGTAATCAAGACAGATCTGCTTTTTAAACTAAATTTCCTCTGTGATACCCATTTATCTCATTTCCATCTCAATCTCATTCTTTCCTTTTTGTTGCCTTTCTGCAGGCTCGCCTCCGCATGATGGAGTCTGTGGAGAAGGAAGACGTCAACGAGGCAATGAGATTGATGGAGATGTCCAAGGATTCGCTACAAGCTGACAAGTCCAGCACCACAAGGTTAGCGTTAATACTGGAACCTCAGAGCTGTCTTAATAATGGCATTTGTCCAGCTCCAACAGCACATAACACAAGTGACCGGATGTCATCCGACCCAGAATTCCCTTTTATTAGTTCTCGTATGCCAGTAAGAGTAGCTGCGTATCCTGGAGGAAGCCATAAAACGTCTCTGGGTTTTTATAGAGCTCTTTTCACACGGCAGCATGTTCTCTGTGGCAGGCGTCAAAGACTGGTGACGTTCACACCCCTTGCTGCATGTACTGTTCTCTGCTCAGTTCTTGAAAATTCCCCGGAGGCTCTTTTTTTTAAATTTATTTATTTTTTAAACAATGGGAGGTAGAGAGAAGCCAGGTCAAAAAAAAAAAAAAAGTAGACAAATTGCACTTGTTTTCCAGCTGATACTTGGATAAGACGATATCACATATGTCTCAGAGTTGGAGTTTACTAAGAACATGTCATGTTTAGTTTGAACTACAAAAATCAAAGTGTAAAAAGGACAATTTAAGGTTTAGGGGTCTACGTGCTGGCTGACTTGACTGCTTAGAATAAGAAACCTGAAAAAGTGTATTTCCGTGCAAATATTCCTTGTTTGATACAAATAAAAACTCAGTAAGTAGTTTGAATTTACCTTCTTCAACCTCTGACATCAGTGCAAAGTGAAGAAGTCGAACAAACTCAAATCAACTCTCTCTTTCTCTCCATTAAGGGCTCAGCGCCCGGCCGACGTCATCTTCCTCTCTGGTGCGCGAGCTCTCCACACGGAGGGCGTGGCAGGCCGCGGAGGAGCCGGTGGGGTGGTTCGCATGGCTGAAGCCGAGCAGCGCTGCGTCTCTCGCGGCTTCACCCCCGCCCAGTTCCAGGAGGCCTTGGAGGAGTACGAGGAGCTGAACGTGTGGCAGGTCAACCAGGCCCGCAGCCGCATCACCTTTGTCTGAAGAACCCGGGACACATCTTCATGCACGCTGTGTTTCAGCCACCTGAGGGGAAAACTCTTTATTGTGGGCTTTCTACAGACTTGTATTGGGGGCTCTTCACTCTTCCTCCTCCAGCATTTTGTAACACAAGTCAAGCAGAACGTGGACACTTTTTATGCACAACCATTTTGCAAGAATTCCTGATGTTGGAGATCCATAGCTTTTTATGTTAAGTAAAGTTGCTTGTAAATATGTATTGTCAGAACATTGGGGTTGTGTAGCATTTGCAGTTTAGACCTAAAGCTTCCAGTTTCTTTGACACAAGCTATTCTGTACATTTTTATACATTGTAATGCAAGTCAGGCAAGATAAATTAACGTTGAGCCTTGTATTGTGACTTAGTTATAATAAATTGATGGTTCAATACTCTGCTTTATGTGGTTCATTTGGGTTCCAGTGTGCACAGGAAACGGGAAGAATAAAGTTCATGTGCCGCAATCATCACTAACACCTGGTTTGTTACTGTAGCAGCCTTGTTGACATAATTGCTGCTGTCAGTCGCACGTCTTGCTCGTAAAACATGCTAACATAGGTTTGCAACTGACTATAAAACGTCTTTCCTAAAAGCCCAGGGCTATGTCTTAAAATATTATTTTGACGCTGTAATGGTTATTATTGATTAAACTGGACGTTGCTCCAGATGCTTCCTAATAAATCATTTAATCCAGAAAATGGTTAAAAGATTCCTGTTGACTTTCCAGAGCGTAGGTTTTCAACTTTCATTCAATTTACTTCCATAAGACAAAGCTGACATTTGTTTTTTTTATACTTGATACATGACTACTCGATCAGAAGATGATTAATTTTGATTTATCAAATGATAAATTTATCAACCAAAAATGTTCGTTACATGTATATTTGCCAGTTATTGTAATAAACCGTGTGTGTGTGTGAATACCGCCTCGACATGGGTGCAAATGTTTTACTGTTGGATGGAAACTCTCGGCTGTTGTGAGTGAACTAAATACCATGCATTAAGTTTATGACATGTAGGTAGTATGTTGGTGTGACAGCATCCGATAAGAATGCAGTCTGCTTTCAAGGGCTTTAAATATAATTGCCAACATGTTAAGACATAAAAGAAGCCTCGTCGTTGCTCAGTGAGTTGATAACCAGCCTTCTGGACGCAGAACTGTTACAAAAGCAGGTGTTCTCTGGGTAAAAACAACCAGCTTTTAGAGCAGAAATGTCTTAACAACTCATTATAAATGTCAGATTAAGGCTGTGCAGGTTGTCATCTATGAGATTTACAGTTTTTTTGGCTGCAATATTGTGTTGGTAGGCAGCATTTTCCCCCACAGTTGCAGTTGTCCCAGCAGGTGATTCTTTACTTCCAGACTTAATGGGGAGTTTCCATTTGAAGTCTGATCTCTTTATGGCTTTGCTACTAAAAGTGCAGGGGCTTTTTATTCCTAATTGGCGCCAAAGGCCCCATATTAAACGGTATTAAGAAAGAGGTGGAGCCAAGATTTTGGTCTCAGCGTTGGTGGAGTTCTATTGGACAGGAGATAGTGTTTCAGGGGGTCTGACACAGAGATCTGTATTTAACCCACTCAGCCCTGTTTGTGCAGTGAACACAGCTTCCTGCGCCAGGTGAGTAAAACATGGTCGGATGATTTTGGTCATTAGGCTTTGACACTGCTGCTGATTTAACTAAAAATGGCATTTCATTCAGTTGAGTGGTATAACTTTATCTACTGTAGCTGCTCTGTTATATTTCACACAGACTGCACATACTGAGTTGAGAGAGTAGGACAATAGGTTGACCTGGAGACAAAGTTAATCAGAAACATACATAGGTGCTTCATCCAGATACATTTATTTCTTGCATTAGTAGTCAAATAGTTAATACATTTTGTGGCCTTTTCTTCTTAAATGATACAAATTTGTTTTTGCCATGAAACTTCTCTGGATTTCAGGGTTTGAAGATGATTTCCTCATTGTGGATGGCGGGGGCACTCTGCTGTCTGATGTTGCTCCCAGGTCTGTTCTGATTCTTTATTGTACGACTGCTTCAACAAACATACGTCAAGAACATAATAATCAACATCCATCAAATGATTTCTCTCCCCATCCAGGTCTGCTGGAGGCCAAATCTTTGTTAAATGCCATCAAGCAGGAAGGTAACTGCAGATCTTAACTAACTTCAGGATAAATAACTGTTAGGATGTGCTTTATCTTTTAAGGGACTGAGCTTCTCCTCTTTTCTCAGAGATGGTCCCTGTCAGTGACCTTAGTATCGACTCAGAGGAAGCGCACGGCTTTCTGGCTCACTCCAGACTAAAGCGTAATGTGGACCCAAGGTGGTACAGGGGAAACCCAGACTTCCAGGCTTACTACCGCTACTACAGCAGCATCGGACACACTGAGGGGGTAGGGCACTATATTATAAATCTATCTCTATCTATCACATGTAAAGATATAATAACTTTGAATGGACTTTGATTGAAGTGTTACACAGAATTATTCTGGGAATAAAAATCAAATGCCTCAATCTGGTGGTATGACTTCTGTAAGAACTATAATTTAACATTTATCTGACTGGATCCCTATATTGCAAAAAGCCTCAGAATGTTTTTAAAATATTACATTCAAAAGAAATTAAATTGACATTCCCATATCCCAGTAAACCAGTTGGGGGAAGGTACTAGACTCAAACCAGAGCACAAAAACCTGCAATGTCTTTTCTTTAACTTTCATTCTGCATTAAACAGTCCAGACCCAATTTCGTTGAATATTAAATATAATTAATCTGGCCTCAAATCATATTTCAGGACAGACTTTAATCCTAAATTAAACTGACTGATTCATCCTTATCAAAGGCCTCTGCAGTCATGTGTCACCCCTTTAATTTCTCTGGTGCTCCTTCCTCTCAGCTCTATGAGATAGACAAGCTGCGGATGCTCTACCAACAGATGAGGTACCTTGAGCACACCTACGGCCCCGACGCGCCCTATTTCCAGAGCAAACTGGGAGTGCCAATGATCATGTGTGACCCGGCTACGGACAAGAAGTGCAAAGTCGCTCTTCCTCCTCCGCCTCCAATGAAAGGGCTCCCAAAGTCCACAGAGCCCCCAGCGACCCCTCCTCCTCTTCCTCCTGCTCCATCCATCTCCCAGGCTGATGTTCTCTATCTGTGCAACAAGAGGGACCCCCTCTGTAAGCCCCACATCGTTTACATGCCCACCGGCTCCGTGCCCGTGCTCTGCGACCCCCGCTACCACCCCCACTGCACCCCCCAGAAAGCTCCAGCCCCAGTCGCAGTGCCCCAACCTCCTCCCCCTCCACCAAAGAAGTCCGCCCCACCCCCACCAGTCCTCATCAAGAAGTCTCCCCCAGCCCTCATCCGCACCTTCAAGGGCATGGAGTACGACTGTGACCCCTACTGGGACCCAGACTGCCTGATTGACCACCCACCCAGGCCCATTAAGGGAAAGATCGTGGCCCCCCCACCACCGCCCCCTCCTGTGGAGGAGGAG